AATATTCCTAGCATCGCTTGGCTACGTGAAGCAAGTGAACCAGTCGGCCAACTCTCCATATTAATGATTGTTATAGTGTCACAACATATGTGTGTGTGTGTGTACTCACCTAATTGTACTCACCTAATTGTGCTAGCGGGGGTTGAGTTTTGTTTCTTTGGTCCCGCCTCTCAACTGTCAATCAATTGATGTACAGATTCCTGAGCCTACTGGGCTCTATGATATCTACATTTAAAACTGTGTATGGAGTCAGCCTCCACCACATCACTGCCTAATGCATTCCATCTGTTAACTACTCTGACACTGAAAAAATTCTTTCTAACGTCCCTGTGGCTTATTTGGGTACTCAGTTTCCACCTGTGTCCCCTTGTTCGCGTACCACCAGTGTTGAATAGTTTATCCTTGTCTACCCTGGGGGGTTGGCTTGGGGGAGCCGGTCGGCCGAGCGGACAGCACGCTGGACTTATGATCCTGTGGTCCCGGGTTCGATCCCAGGCGCCGGTGAGAAAGAATGGGTAGAGTTTCTTTCACCCTATGCCCCTGTTACCTAGCAGTAAAATAGGTACCTGGGTGTTAGTCAGCTGTCACGGGCTGCTTCCTGGGGGTGGAGGCCTGGTCGAGGACCGGGCCGCGGGGACACTAAAAAGCCCCGAAATCATCTAAAGATAACCCTGTCAATACCCGTGACGATTTTGTAGGTAGTGATCATGTCTCCCCTTACTCTTCTGTCTTCCAGTGTAGTAAGGTGCATCTCTCACAGCCTTTCTTCGTAACTCATGCCTCTTAACTCCGGGACTAGTCTAGTGGCATACCTCTGTGTGTGTGTGTATTCACCTAGTTGTGTTTGCGGGGGTTGAGCTTTGCTCTTTCGGCCCGTCAATCAACTGTTTACTACCTTTTTTTTCCCACCACATACACACACACCAGGAAGCAGTCCGTGACAGCTGATTAACTCCCAGGTACCTATTTACTGCTAGGTAACAGGGGCATAGGGTGAAAGAAACTTTGCCCATTTGTTTCTGCCTAGTGTGCGAATCGAACCCGCGGTCAGAGAATTACGAGACCTGCGCGCTATCCACCAGGCTACCAAGCCGTTGTGTGTGTACTCGCCTATTTGCATTCACCTATTTGTGCTTGCGGGGGTTGAGCTTTGGCTCTTTGGTCCCGCCTCTCAACTGTCAATCAACTGGTGTACAGGTTCCTGAGCCTATTGGGCTCTATCATATCTACACTTCAAACTGTGTATGGAGTCAGCCTCCACCACATCATTGCCTAATACAATCATTTGTCAACCACTCTGACACTAAAAAATTCTTTTTAATATCTCTGTGGCTCATTTGGGCACACAATTTCCACCTGTGTCCCCTAGTAAGTGTGCCCCATGTGTTAAATAACCTGTCTTTATCTACCCTGTCAATTCCTCTGAGAATCTTGTGCGTGGTGATCATGTCCCCTCTAACTCTTCTATCTTCCAGCGACGTGAGGTTTAATTCCCGTAGTCTCTCCTCGTAGCTCATACCTCTCAGCCCGGATATTAGTCTGGTAGCAAACCTTTGAACCTTTTTCCTTTTTAGTCTTATGTTTGACTAGATATGGACTCCATGATGGGGCTGCATACTCCAGGATTGGAGTATGCAGTTCCGCAGGAATGGAGTTCCTCGCACACCTTGTCGTTTGTAGTGAATTCGTCTGCTTCTATCCTCAGTTTCATTACCTGTTCCTTCACCGATGTTTTTCTCCTGATGTGGCTATGCAGCAATTTAGGTTGAGTCTTTGTCTTGCTTGCTATGTCATTTTCATATTGTCTTTCTGCCTCTCTTCTCACCCTGATGCATTCATTCCTTGCGCTCTGGTATCTTTCTCTGCTCACTAGTGTCCTATTATTTCTGTAGTTTCTCCACACCCTTTTACTTATTTGCTTTGCTAGCTTACATCTTTGATTAAACCATGGGTTTCTCGTCTGCATTTCATTTCTTTCTTTTTGGACTGGGACGAACTTGTCTGTTGCCTCCTTACACGTCTGTGTGATGTAGTCTATCATGTCTTGGGCCGTCTTAGCTCTGTTTCCCAAGTTATATATGTTAGAAAATTTCTTATCTCATAGTTATTTTCCCTTTCGGAATGCCAGCCTTTTGTTTTCTGTGTGTGTGTGTGTGTGTGTGTGTGTGTGTGTGTGTGTGTGTGTGTGTGTGTGTGTGTGTGTGTGTGTGTGTACTCACCTATTTGTACTCACCTATTTGTGCTTGCAGGATCGAGCATTGACTCTTGGATCCCACCTTTCCAGCTATCGGTTGTTTACAGCAATGACTCCTGTCCCATTTCCCTATCATCCCTAGTTTTAAAAGTATGAATAGTATTTGCTTCCACAACCTGTTCCCCAAGTGCATTCCATTTTTCCACTACTCTCACGCTAAAAGAAAACTTCCTAACATCTCTGTGACTCATCTGAGTTTCCAGTTTCCACCCATGTCCCCTCGTTCTGTTATTATTACGTTTGAACATTTCATCTATTTCCACTTTGTCAATTCCCCTGAGTATTTTATATGTCCCTATCATATCTCCTCTCTCCCTTCTTTTCTGTAGTGTCGTAAGGTTCAGTTCCTTCAGACGCTCTTCGTATCCCATCCCTCGTAACTCTGGGACAAGCCTCGTCGCAAACTTCTGAACCTTCTCCAGTTTCTTTATGTGTTTCTTCAGGTGGGGGCTCCATGATGGCGCGGCATACTCTTAGACGGGTCTCACGTAGGCAGTGTAAAGCGCCCTAAAAGCCTCCTGTGTGTGTGTGTGTGTGTGTGTGTGTGTGTGTGTGTGTGTGTGTGTGTGTGTGTGTGTGTGTGTGTGTGTGTGTGTGTGTGTGTTTGTGTGTGTGTGAAAAAACCCACTTGATTGATTGAGAGTTGAGAGGCGGGCTGAAAGAGCCAGAGCTCAACCCGCCCAAGCACAACTCGGTGAACACACACACACACATACACTATTGTCACACCAGGGGCCCCTCTTCAATAACCAGGCTTGAATTTTCTTATCGTCGCGCTTTTACAATGAACAACTAAGTTAATCAGTAATTATTTAATGCATGTGGATTAAAAATATAGATAATACTTCTTATTAGCTCTTCGACCTGATTGGCTAATACAGAACGGACTCAATACAACGCTTTGCTATCAATAAATGTGATGAAACTAGTTGCGAAACAAGTGAAAAGCGCTTTCTTGACCGCTCATCTAGAGGTTGCGACATAGAAGTTCATTATATATATTGGTATAAACATGTAGGAACAATATTTGACAGAATGTTTACAGGGATGAAGAACCTTCAGTATGCAGTAACGGCAGTCTGCGCAGTCAACTCACAACCAAATGGTCCCGGTTTCAATTCCCACTTTTTTGTCGCCTGAATAATGCGACACCAACCCTCAATGATTTCATCCACCAATTACATTCAGGTGCTGTACTGTTGTTGCAATCACTGCCTGCACCCTTGTTATGTACTCTGGTGGTGTGTAGGTGTGCTGATGGTGGGTAGGCGCTGGTGGTGGGTGCATGGGTGGTGGTGGTGTGTGTGGGCGCTGGTGGTGGGTGGTGGTGGTGTGTGTGGGTGGTGGTGGTGGGTGCTTGCTGGTGGAGGTGTGTGGGGATGCTGCTGGTAGATGGGCGCTGGTGGTGCAAGGCCACCCACGGGATGGAACAGATGTGATTTTGTTACCCATACGCGTAATTGTAATAAAATCACATGCGTTCTGTACCATGTGTGCTCGCGAGAATTCGGTAAATCTGGGTAGAACTGGTGAAAATTGTCAATGGTAGGCGGGATTTCTTGATAGGTTCTAATTCTTCGTAGAGTCGTTGGCCGAGCGGATAGTGTAGGGAACTGGTGATATCGAAGATCCGGGTCAACTTTGTGCTCTTGGCAGTGTATATATATATATATATATATATATATATATATATATATATATATATATATATATATATATATATATATATATATATATATATATATATATATATAAAACACTGTCATATATATATATGACAGTGTTAAACTACGGAGGAAGAATTGAAACAGGAATTTCTGTAAGTACTTTCGTATATTAATACAGCTTCATAAGGAATTTATTCCTTCTGAAGATGTTTTATTATACGAAAGTACTTAATGAAATTCCTGTTTCAATTCTTCCTCCGTGGTCTGACACTGTCACATTTTTCATCACGTGTTAATTTTCGTGAGTTACACACACACACACACACACACACACACACACACACACACACACACACACACACACACACACACACACACACACACACACACACACACACACATATACCTTACACAGGTTTAGAAACCTGTGTAAGGAATCTTTCAGAACATTATATACCACATATGTCAAACCATTCCTGAATATGCGGCTCCAGCATGGAGTCCATATCAAGTTAAGCATAAGACAAAACTGGAAAAGATTCAAAGGTTTGCCACCAGACTAGTACCCGAATTGAGGGGTATGAGCTACGAGGAGAGACTACGGGAATTAAACCTCACGTCACTGGGAGACAGAAGAGTTAGAGGGGACATGATCACCACATACAAGATTCTAAGAGGAATTGATTGGGTAGATACGGACAGACTATTCAACAAAAGGGGCACACGCACTAGGGGACACAGGTGGAAATTGAGTGCCCAAATGAGTCATAGAGACGTTAGAAAGAATTTTTCAGTGTCAGAGTAGCAGACAAATGGAATGCATTAGGAAGTGATGTGGTGGAGGCTGACTCCATACACAGCTTTAAGTGTAGATATGATAGAGCCCAGTAGGCTTAGGAATCTGTACACCAGTTGATTGACAGTTGAGAGGCGGGACCAAAGAGCGAGAGCTCAACCCCCGTATGCACTATTAGGTGAGTATATATATATATAAATAAACAAACTTTGCTTGTATCAATGTTTAATAAAAAAATTAAATACAATAACTTTAATATTCCCAGGTTAATTAAAGAATCTCAGAAGCTCATTTTCTTTATTTGCGTGAGTGGCGTCTCAACACACATGCGGTATCATCAAGGCTAATGCTACAAGTATAGGACTGGTGGCGAATGTATACACAACTTGAGTGAGGTGAACATATAAGACGGGCAAAGGTGATGCAAAGTTGAGGGTGTGGACAGGTAAGGTAGAGTGCAAGGTGTACTCGTCGGGGGTGAGTGAGTGACACGAGTAATACTGACAAGTGCAGGATGTGGACTGGCTGCTCTTGTGTGTGCCAGAAACATCTTAATAATAGGTCTCATACTCCAGCCAGCCTCCAGGGGTCCTCCGTAAGATGAACCGGCGGCACTCGTCATAAACAAAGATGAGTAACGAGAAAGGAATCGCTGGTAACCACCAGTAAAACCTGGAAAGACAGCGCAATGCATTGATTACATAATGGAGTGTTGAAACTATGAACGCCAGTTCTGCTTAGTGCAATAATATCGACACAGTATTATTACAATAAACAAAATAGGCAATAACATTTTCAGATTTAACAATATTATCATTGCACAAAGAAATATCATTATGGCATATTGCCTCAAATTCGTATATAGTTAAATCGTAACTAAATGTTATATTATTATATAAGGAACATCGAGAAAGGTATCACAAAACTGGTATATCTAATGTAATGGTGTAATAATGACACGGTTGTACAATAGAGGTAATGTAATGAGTAGGAAAAAATGCTATGAATACATTCCAACTTTTCCAGAAATATCAACTTAATTGTCAGGAAATACAAGTTAAGAATGGTGTAGCAGGTACACAGGATACATAATACAACTAGTCAGCAGACAAAGCAGGGAGACCCCCAGCTGGATATTAGCAATAATGAAGGAACTACTCTCACAGAGAGATTACTAGCAGGCATTTTAAAGCCTATTGAAGTGAGATCTATGTTGTATGAATTGTATGTTTAGAGTGATTTCGATCCGGGATAGCCTCAGACTCTGTTGAGGTAGAGTGCTGAGGGTGTGAACAAGTGTTTGTAACTTTATGAAATGATCAGTTTTTATTTTTTTTAAATATCTTCTCATCATACTAATTTTGAGTATAAATTGTGCCAATATCTGTCTTACTGTTCTAATGGTAAATTACACTTTGATTTTTGCAATATATATCATCTTTCAAATTGTAAACTAAATCTTACGTACTTTATGGCAAAAGTGTAAGTTTGATTTAGACTGATGTACACCTGTTTAGTTCTGCAACTATAGTAATGATTTATATAAGTTGATACGAACATAGTTTCTGATTCTGATTTAGGCAACTGCAATAATTTTAAAATCAAAGATAAATGCAGTTTCTAAATCTAAATATTGAGTATACAGTATATAATTAGTTATAATATGTTATGTTATTATAATAACTTCTCTTAAGTAAAAAAATCACCGTAAATATGTGTAAACTAACCCAAATATAAATGTACAAATATTTATGAATTAAGCATTTTAATTTGAACATTGAATGTACTGAGCATGGAGAGGTCAGCTGTGGTAGTAGTCACTATGATTATCTGACTACGGTTCAGTAAGGTCTAGTAGCTCTTTGTATCCGCGCTCACTAGCACTATTGTAAATATAAATTGTCATCCACACTTCCGTGGAAATAAACATTTCATTCACATGGGCTCTGGGAGACTCGAATCACTGGCGTATATGACGCGGGCGTGGATCACTAATTCCTCTGAGCTTCAGTAGTAGTCAGGGAAAGTTGAAAATTCCAGCATAGCAGCAGTAGCTGCTTCTGAAATCTTTCCTTATTATGACTACTCATAGCTAAGTGAATAGAGCTTCTGCCGCACACGCGTGGGGTACGTGGATCGAGTCTCCTAGAGCCCATGTAAATGAACTGTTGTAAATGTTGCTTTATATTAGGGATGAAAATAGGGAATGGGGGGAAGAGGATGCTGGTAGTTTCCCAGTGTTGAATATATTACCAGCGAGTGTCACAGACTAAGAGGAGCATAACAATCATTGCAGTTAGGAGTAAGGCAACTGGCTATTAAATATTTGCATTTGTAGGTGTTGCCTACAGTATGTGCGAACGAACGACTACAGTCTCCCACTAACATGGTAGGTAATATTACGATAAGGTATAAACCATCTTTGTGGTCTGCCTTTGCTTGTTGTGACCAACAGTGACATATCAAAATGATGCCAAAACCTGAAGTTAGGTAAACTAATACTTTGATTTAAATCAGCAAATGGGCAGGAACGCCTTAAGGAGACAAAGTTGACTGAGTTATTCTTGGCCACCAACGTCCACTCATTCATTACCAAGTACACTAATACAGGCTGGCCACCACCTGAAGCTTATTTGACTGCCACCTTTCTAAAACGAGGGCTGTATCGTGTTCAAATATTACAGAGCTTGGAATTTTCAAACATTAAAAAAATCAATAAATATCCCACCATAGTAATGTCCTTAAGATCAACCAGGATAGTGTGTTCAGAGGTTACAACCAGGAAAGACTACTCCAAACCAATGCCAGCCTCATGCCTGAAGTCATCATCAGGAAATACAGGAAGAAATCCCCTGTGACGAGAGCATTGCTTTCAAATAATGGGCGCTTTGTAGACAAAAGCTAATTCTGGAAGCACCCAAGAAATAACCTTAAGAGACTCTTCTTGGTAAAAAACTTTCTTCTAGGAGAAAGTGGTAATTTAAAATTACATTTACTGTATTGCTGTAGGTCATAAAAAGTTCGGAAGATATAACTTGACTCGACACAAGCAAACGTGGGAATACCTGGGGGAAATATAGACATGATGGCATCCCTGAGCAAAATAATTACATATCCAGTATCCATTAACACGCTAAAAATTAGCACTGTCCAGAAAACACCAGAAGTCAGACAAATGGCAGAGTTATGGACGGAATCTAAGGTTGTCAGTCTCGGTACCCCATATACTGCTGACAAACACACTCAGAAGATCTAAGGAAATTAATCATGTCCATAGAAGGAATCCTGCTCCATTTAGACGTCTGGGTCCGAGGGAACTAGACATATATGATTAAAGTACATGGCTAAGGTCCATATAGGTGAACATCTAGAACCATGCCCCTTAACCAACTGGGGTGATCGACCAAGAGATATACAGCCTTCGTTCTGCAACAGTATGCCTGAAGCTAGAACATTAATCAACATGCCATCCATCACACCAGCTGACAGGGCATCTATAACACTATTTACTTCAACAGTGAATACAATAACAAAGAATGCTAACTATTTTATTGTCTATTACTTTTAGTTAGTAATGTATGCACATTAAAAACAATAATAAAATAATGTTGTCATAGTAAATCAAATTTACTAATTAATTCAAATATAGTGCCCAATTTCCATTAATACACAACTGTAATAGTAGATTCTATTTTTTTTCTAGCTTACTATTTTCCCCATTACTGTATAATAAAAATTAATCTTAAACTTTCATACAATATAAATAGATTATCTGACTTAAATTGTTAATATTAATTATTACACCTCATACAAGCTAAATCTTATTTTCTGGCAGGGCTCCTAATGACCGCTTCTTGGTGCTTGCAAACTCCACCTAATTCAGTCCACACCAGACACTTGCGAGTCATATATAATCCCACTAGAGACCAGAGGCCAAAACCTGACTTCTAAAGAGGCGCATGGAGCAGGGAATCGTAGATCACCCTAACTAAAAAATGGCCACCACAAAGATGAACGAATTAAAACAGACGACAGCAAGTTAAACAAAGCATAGAAAACGGGACAGCAAAGTCCTGAGATTCACGAAACACTTCTCATGTGGTGAAGCAGCTCTCATGTCAGTACCACCTGCTCACCTTCCTCCTCCTCGATTCACAAACCTTGAATCCTCAGGCATTTTGCCTGGCACTTACATTAATCACGTTCACTGTTATGCTCCTCTTCCCACCGCAGCACCCGTTGGATCTCGGGTTTTCAGATAAGTATTGGCCATTTTAAACATGTTTTTTTCCTGTGGGGCCAGTTTCATGTCTTGCATTGACTCTTGATTAATTGTTTGCCTTGCACTACATTTACCTAGAGTTCTTGTCTCTTGGTGTTCACTCAGAAATTCATTAAGTCAGAAATACATTCTCTGGGGAGTTTGGGTGGCTGTCTCTGAGAGGCCAGCATCCTGTTGGAATGTGCCTCGCCCTTGGCAGGGTCTTGTCGGACATAAACCTTACTTTCTGGTAAGGGTCTTTGACTCCTCTGCGAAGTCTTGTGGATAGGTGCAGTCACATTTTCGTTTAAGAGTCACACAAGTTGTTTGAGTGCTCGTTATATGGCATGCCACTCACACCCATCATTTGCTCCAGCGGCTGTGCAGGAGTCTGAACATTACCTACATGACTTATCCTCTTGAGCCGGGTTTGCCTCTGGGTGTTGTACCGTTTTCTTCAGTTCTGCCTCTTTCACTGCCAGTGAGACTGTTGGGTGAGAGCTGTGTGAACCCTTCGGCGCTTCTGGCTCACCAGTTTCTTCTTCGAGCTTTTCAGGGTTCTGTTCCATAGAACCTCCTTCACTCTCCCTTGCACTCGACCTTTTCACAGATGCTTCAGCCCTGGGTTGGGGGGTTATGTCCAACAATTCCTTGGACACTCAGAGTTGTTGGGTGGGTCCTTTGAGTCAGGGGCACAGCACAGTGCGCAAGTTCGCGGGGAGGGTTTCGGTCACTTCTCTTGTGGGGCAGAACGCTTCGGATAGTTCATCTTATGGATTCTTGGGGTTTGGTTCTCTGTGTAGTTCACGTTCGGGGCGTGTCCAACGTTCAGGTGGGAGATCTCTTTTTTGCCCCATCACCACAAAATGGTCCGTCGATGATGTGTCCTAGCCTTGGCTTTGCGAGACGGACGGCTACCCTGAGGTGGACTTCCCTGTGTCGGCTTGGAACCCACAGCTTCCAGTTTAAGTCACCCTATTTCACAATTACGAAGCTCTCGTGGTGGATGCCCTTTGGCTGGCTTAGGGTCGGTTGGGGTGTTTTTATCTTTTCCCCTGCAGTTCGGTTGTTGCTCCAGGTTCTTTCCAAACTGATGTGTTCCAGCAAGGTCTTCTTGTTGCCTCCCTTAGACCGACCAACCCATGATTTCCAGTAATTTAGGCCAATTGTCCGAACCTGCGTCATTTTCAGGGTTGATAAGCCTCTCCCCTGGAAGCGGGTTTTTTGCACATCTGGTCCGAGTACCACTTTTGTTTTCTTCATTGTGTCACAATACCGTCGAGCCACTATTAGAAACCCCGGTACAAAACCAGTGTTGAATATAATGAACTGCCTCTTTCTGGTGGATCCGAGGTGACTTCTTGAGAACAACTCTTCCCTATTACTGGGTTTCGGTTTTCCGTTTTCCTAGTTATATGACTGAGGACTCGAGGTCAGTGGATCGAGAAGGACTGTGCACAGCCCTCTGGTGGTGCTCAGATGGTATTGACGTGAAAATGGCATCACCACCTAGTGATGCGTGAGTCCCTGTCTTTGATGTCCCGTCTTCTATGCTTTGTTTAACTTGCTGTTGTCAATTTTGTTTCGTTCACCTTTCTGGTGGCCTTCTCTTGTTTAGGATGATCTAGGTTTCCCAATACTCCTTATGGCTTTTCAGAGGTGGGTGGGGGAGGGGGCTAGTTTTTAGCTTCTGGTCCCTGATAGTCTTTGTATGACTCACAAGGGCCTGGGATGGGTTTAATTGGGTGGAGATTGCCAGACAGCAAGCACCAAGAACCCGCCGAAAAAGAGGTATTTCATTACATTCAATACTGTATTATACTTTAGATGAGGTACCAAGAATGTATCCAAGGAGACAGACCCAGTACCAACCCCGGGTCTGTCTAGTTTCCTCCCTCCCTCTCTCAGAACATATAATATATGCGCCCAGCAAACTCCCTCCCGTTTTTTCTATCTACCTTCCCCGCCCCCATTTTATGTCTCAAAACATGCAACATGTACCTCCCCCCCCCACAACAAACACTCTCCCTCTATTCCGTTCTCTCTTAACCTTACGAACATTAGGAACCTTAACTTGGATAACAAGAACTTTTCAAACTAGAGATGCTATACCAATGATGATACTCCTCAAGAGTATCATTATTGCTGGCACTTGCTAGTGCTCTCTAGAGTGGAGTACTGCTGCACAATGACCGCCCCCGTTAAAAGCTGAAGAAATTGCTGACCCGGAGAGCGTGCAGAGATCCTCTGCTGCTAGTATCCACTCAGTAAAACATCTAAACTACTGGGACCGACTAAAATGCCTAGATCTGTTTTCTCTTGAGTGCAGGCGGGAGAGATACATAATAATTTGCACATGGAAAATAGTAGAGGGGCTGGTCCCAAACCTGCACACAGAAATAACATGAAGATATATATATATATATATATATATATGTAATAATGGTAGTATATAATAATGTTGATATTTTCCCCTACTTCTATGTAACATTTGTATTTTACTTTAAAGGAAAAAAGTCCTTACTTGACGGGGTACATACGAAGACCCTTGTCCATTCCTGGTGCGTAGGAGAGGAAGGCCGCCAGAGCAGTTTCGAAGCATAAACCAAAGTTAAGCACCATGTTCCTGTAAAACAGCACACTTAATAGTACCATCCGATATGAAACAATTAGTGAGTGAAGACTAAGATGGGTTACTAGTGCAAGAAATAGTGTGAAGCAGATATTTATACTGGGACAGATAGTAGAGAAAACATGCGAATGGAGAGGGTCTCTTGGAGTGTATTGAACACGTATGAGTTGGCGGAATATTAGTAAATGCTGTGAAGAGCTTTAATGTAGAAAGAGATTGTGTGACTATTAATTGTGCAATAATTTACTACTTTGATATTAATGTGGGACTGGCTGCCTATCAGTGTGTTTTGACACCATGGTTGGTCAACCTAAGAATAACAGAAAAATATGTAACATTTTTGTACGAGTTAATCAAATGTGATGTATTCACGTGATGAAATTCTTCTAGAAGATAATGATAAAATGATAATCAGATAATCCTTCTGAAGATGTATTATTAAATAAATAAATATATTACTGATAAAAGTGAATGTGAACAAAATTAAAGTAATGATAGAGGAGAGAGTAATAGCAATGTTCATGGAAATATATTTTAAATTATTTCAATATTTTTACTTTTTTTAAACTACTAATCACAAGCAGCTAGTGACTGTATCCTCTAAAATCAATTATCTTGAGCTGTTTACAATTCAAATAATCTAGATAAACTTACTTCATTTTCTGGTGAAAAAGCGATTTTCGTCGGGTCTTGCAGATGATGAGATCTGCCCACTGCACAATCACAATGGAAATGAAGAAAGCTGTGTGACATGTGTACTCGAGAATTTTGCGATCATGGTAAGTCTGAGAAAGATATGAAGTTAAAAAGCATTACTTATTGCAGTAGATATGTCCTAGTTATTTAAAATTGGAACATGCTTTTCACTGGTACTAATGTGCTGAAACAGTGACAGAAAAACTGCACCAATCGTTAACATGTTTTGTACACAACAATTCTCTTATCTTCTTAGTTTGAATGGGACCATTCCTAGTTTCAACGAGACTATTTAGATATCTAGGTAAACAAAACACTGTATTTATAATAAAGCTCGGATGTACATGTATGTTTACACACAAACATGTTAATAACAATTTTGCAATATCAAAATAACCACTAGAAAAAGTAGTTATGAAAGCTTAGCTGAATTGTGATCTAGTGAGGCTTCCACAGCCAAGATGATCCCGTCACGACGTGTACTGTACTGGTATAAGTGCTGCCCTAACAGTGCTCGTGGCAAGGGAGGATCAGTTCTTTTGCGCACCTTTCCTCATGGATCTACAACAACACTACTCCAAAGTTCATTATATAAACAAAATACTAACCCACTCCTGGCCATAGTGATCTTCCAGATCATTGATAGCATTTGAGTCCCACTGCTGACGAATACCAAACAGTTTTGGCGGAAGGAAGCCATTTTCTGCCATTATGACAAAGTAGACGTAGAACCCAGCCGCTGCCTGGATCATACCAATCTGACCATAGGCCATGGAGATGAGCCTGTTGGGTTGGGGATATATAATACTGAGAATACAATAAAAATACATCGTTGGAATATAATTAATTTTCAAATAAGTTCCATATAACAATCTGTAAATGTCAAAATTATTTAATTGAGGTTTGCTGCCCATAAATATTTTTATATTAATCTTTTACAGGATAAACCATTCATATTAAAAGTCCATAAAATTTTAGTGTAAAACGGACATTGGTAGTGTTAATATATACTCCAGTACAGCTAGTAGTATATATTATATATACTGGCTGTGCTATATATATATATATATATATATATATATATATATATATATATATATATATATATATATATATATATATATATATGCAAACAAGCCTGAATGGTCCCCAGGACTATATATGTGTGTGTGTGTGTGTGTGTGTGTGTGTGTAATCATATGGCAAAAGTTACAAAATCATGCACATATTACACGGCAAAATATTCTATTTTAAGCTCTTAACTCGTATTAAAAATTTCATACAATACGAATACTACCACCTTGTTAGTATTGAAAGGAAGATATATATAATGTTTAATAGGCTTCAAATACTTTAAAAAAAATAAACTATACTCTTCATACAAAGGCCCTTGAGTTCTGAAAAAGTTACATTAATTCATATATAGTGGACTCCCTATTATAAACAAGTATACGTTACAGATACCTGATACAGTGTAGGTGGTTGTTTTATAGTGTATTTTACTACGAAGAATTTTATCACCTCAACAATAATACTTTATTTTTACTGACATACTGTCCAAGATTTTAGGCGATATGGCTAGATTGCCACTGACAATCACTGTCATCCATATATATATATATATATATATATATATATATATATATATATATATATATATATATATATATATATATATATATAGTTTCTGAAAATAGGCCCAAGGAGTTTTTCATGCCCAAAAATAAATCATTACTTAATTTAGGTTTTTACATAAACTGTTATTTACCCATTTAATCCAATATTTATGGAGAGATGCATCATCAGTTTTAAGTTCGAGTTCTAACGAACACACACACACCCCAGAAGGATTTGAACCCAGACAGCCTGGAGCACCATGCACCTTAGCGTATCTAGTACTTTAACAGCTAGACCACAACTGACTGTACAAAAATGTTGGAAGTCGTAAGACTTTTGCCCAACACCCAACAGCACCCGGTGGTCAACTTGAGCACAGATATTTCATCGAATCACCTCACTTTTTGAGGCCACATGAGCAACACAAATGCGAACAATTATAAACAAATGTCGGGTGCTGGGTAAAAGTCTCCCGACTTCCAACACTTGTGTAGTCAGTTCTGGTCTAGCGGTTAAAGTACTAGATACGCTATGGTGCTCCTAGCTTTCTGGGTTCGAATCCTTCTTGGGTGTGGAGTTTTCGGTTGCATATATATATATAATAAGGTATATATATATATAATAAGCATAAGGTATATATATATATATAATAAGGTATATATATATAATAAGCATGGGAACCATTCAAGCTTGTTTGCATATACCCATTCTCAGAATAACACTTGTAGAACTTACACGGAGTAAAGTTTGTTAAAAATCGAAATGAATTGTCATGCAGAACAATTATAAAAGCATAAAATGTATAAAAGAACACAATATCACCACTGCAGGTAATTCATTAACCCTTAATACCGACACCTTACAGTGTTAAGATACATTAACCTTTCACCTTGATGCTGACACCCGTCATATTGTTAAGATGCACTAACGTGACACCTTCAAACAACAAGCTTTGTTATTTGTTACTCTCGTCCGGGAAAGAGACGACAAAGTATGAACTTGCGGTCATTAGTAAAGAATAACCGATCAGTAAAGGTACCCAAATATTACCTCTCGTTCACCAGCTTGTCGGTGAATGGATTACGGGGTGGACGCTTCAAAATATCACATTCTGCCTCTTCATAGGCAAGGGAAATGGCTGGCACCTAAGATTAACCAGATTATGTTTAACATCTTTAACTACAAGTAAAACTAAAATAAGGTTTTAAAATACAACTCAACTTACACATATGTTTGATCACTGAATAACGAGAAAAGTCATGTGCAAGTAAAACCATAAAACACAATCACACAGCAATCAAGATCAGTTGTGTTCAGTTGGTTATGTGCTGCTTTATCAATATTTGGTGACAGGTTCCTTGTAACAATACAAATTTCGGCCTATATGCTAGTTCCTGTGTGATGGTCTTTGAGGGGGAAATAATTGATAAAAAGCCTGATAACAGCGAAGAATAACAATTAGGCCTGAACACGTTGTCAATGGTTGTTGTGTGTTTTTATAATTGGTTATGTACCAGCTAAAGGTCACAGATGGATGAATCCATACTAACTTCAACTATTGGTACAGAACTAGTCTCCTTTTGTTGGTGCTTGCTCACGTTGAGTACGTGAGCAAGCGAGTGCGGTATATATGGGCTCGAGTTTTTCCCAAGTAAATATGATTGAGTTGGGAGAACGTATGTCTAATCTGCTACTATTAGCTGGTGTCGTTAGGGGCTGTAGTCGTGGAATAGCCGCCCGTCTCACAGCCCTTTAAACGATCTGCTATGGTGTATTGGTTAGTGTACTGGTTGGCCAGTTGGTTAGCCTTAGTTCAATTCTCTCATAGGGAAAGAGTTTCTGTGTTAAATATTATTTGTGATATATATATATATATACTGTATATATATATATATATATATATATATATATATATATATATATATATATATATATATATATATATATGTCGTACCTAGTAGCCAGAACTCACTTTTTGGCCTACTATTCAAGGCCCGATTTGCTTAATAAGCCAAGTTTTCCTGAATTAATATATTTTTTCTAATTTTTTTCTTATGAAATGATAAAGCTACCCATTTCATTATGTATGAGGTCAATTTTTTTTATTGGAGTTAAAATTAACGTAGATATATGACCGAACCTAACCAACCCTACCTAACCTAACCTAACCTATCTTTATAGGTTAGGTTTGGTTAGGTAGCCGAAAAAGTTAGGTTAGGTTACATATATATATATATATATATATATATGTCGTACCTAGTAGCCAGAACTCACTTCTCAGCCTACTATTCAAGGCCCGATTTGCCTAATAAGCCAAGTTTTCCTGAATTAATATATTTACTATAATTTTTTTCTTATGAAATGATAAAGCAACCCTTTTCTCTATGTATGAGGTCAATTTTTTTTTATTGGAGTTAAAATTAACGTAGATATATGACCGAACCTAACCAACCCTACCTAACCTAACCTAACCTATATTTATAGGTAAGGTTAGGATAGGTAGCCAAAAAAAGCTAGGTTAGGTTAGGTTAGGTAGGTTAGGTAGACGAAAAAACATTAATTCATGAAAACTTGGCTTATTAGGCAAATCGGGCCTTGAATAGTAGGCTGAGAAGTGCGTTCTGGCTATTAGGTACGACATATATATATATATATATAAATTTAAATGTTCGTTTGTTCAAAATCGCTACTCTCTGAATGTTCTTCATTGAATGCTTTGAAATTTTGACATTCCTTTCGCATTGGAGCGTGTTTTTATATACATACTATATAGATGTCAGGTCTGTGACAGGTAAAAACATGTTTTGTTTTTTTAACTGTGTTTTTATGTGAATTTTCATGTGAGGGAAATCTCCGAAACCTCGACTTTACCAATTGCTTTGAAATTTTGACATTTCAAAGCACCCTCGAATATGCGCATGTTTTTATGTACCTACTATATACATGCCACACCTGTGACAGGTAAAAACATGCCACACCTGTGACAGGTAAAAAACATGCCTTTTTTTTTAAATAGAGCCATCTGTTGGACGTAAGAGCAACACACGCTGTAATCTCCAAAAGTTCTTTACTGATTGCTTTGAAATTTTGACACAATGCTCCATTCAAATACGCGCGTGTTTTTATATACCTCTTATACAGATGCCACACCTGTGACAGGTAAAAACATGCTTTTTTGAAAAACAGTGCCATCTGTTGCACGTAAAAGCATCACACGCCATGCTAAATATGTTACAATTCCATTTCAATGTTTCTGATTGCATTGATAAATTGAATTTTCAAAGATTTCGATTTATTTTCATTTTGATTTAATTATTTTGTGTGACATTGTGTTGGAATTGACCTGTGTTGTTTACCATACCTTTCATTTCGTTATGTCACGTCTGTGATAGGTAAAAACATGCTTTTTTAAAAAACTGTATTTTTCATGTGAGGGAAATCTCCAGAACCTCTTTACCAATTGCTTTGAAGATTTGACACAATATTCCATTCGAATATGCGCGTGTTTTTATATGCCTACTATATAGCTGCCGCAACTATGACAGGTAAAAACTTTTTTTTTTTTTAAACAGCACCATCTATTGCACGTAAAAGCAACACACGCTATACTAAATATGTTATGATTACATTTCAATGTTTCCGATCGCATTGATAAACTGAATTTTCATAGATTTTAACTTATTTTCATTTTGATTTCATTATTTTGTGTGATATTGCATTAGAATTGAGCTGTGTTTTTTACCATACCGCTCATTTCGTGAGTATAGTTATTTTTGTATTTTTCATTGTTTATTATTTTCTTTAACTGTTCATATTTTTCAGTGATGGGAACATCAGATCATTTGATGTTCCCATTTTTCTTATGGGAACATCAGATCATTTGGAAATGCATCAGACAAGGGAGTGGGGAATGGTGGGGAGGACGAGGGGACGGGAGTGGAGAATGGTGGGGAGGACGAGGGGACGGGAGTGGAGAATGGTGGGGAGGACAAAGGGACAGGAGAATGGCAGATGGTGTGGAGAACGAGGGGACAGTGGCGTGGGGAATGGTGGGGAGGACGAGGGGACGGTGGAGTGGGGGATGGTGGGGAGGACAAGGGGACGAAGGAATGGCGGGGAGGATGAGGGGACGGGGGAGGGGGGAATGGTTGGGAGGACGAGGGGACGAGTGAAGGGGAATGGGGGAGGGCTGGGGGACAGGAAAAGGATGCCACAAAGACCCACACTAACCAACTGGGAACCAAGACCATAATCTAATTCTCCCTATGAGGTGTGAGGAACACAGAGACAAAGGGATCCATCCACAAATGAACTAAATCACTCAGAAAATCAAGACGAAACAAAACCAACTAGGGTTTCAAAGAAATGAAAACCGAGTGAAGAATGCAAACAACAGTTGGCCATGGGTAAATAACTGGCCTGGCTGCCACTTGATTTCTGAGAAGGCCTCTTCAGTATCTCACTGAGTATCTCACTGAGCTTATTTACAATGGCACCTCAGGGAAAGAAGAGGACTTCCTAGCTCGGGTAATGATAAGATAAAATGGGCGAAGAACCCTGTGAAAGCAACCGGATGTGGAAGAACAAAACACCAAGTAACAGACAAGCGAAACGTTGTCTATGATTAAAGTATATTCTTAACTTTGTGTTTCTCTATATTCGACGAATAACTTGAAAAAAAAATATAAAATATTTGTAGACATGAGTTTAAATGAAAAGTAATTATTGTTTATTATGAAAGCTAAATTATAATTATTTCTTAGTGTCTAATGGAATTTTTGGCAATACAATTGCATTTGAAATAATTTGAAGATAATTCTTGAATGCTGCAAAACGAAGATATGATACTAACTTACCATGTCAGTGCCCAGATCGATGCAGAGGATAGTAACAGTACCCAAGGGAAGGGGCACAGAGGCAATCATGAAGAACAAGAACGGAGAGATCTCAGGGATGTTGGAGGTCAAGGTATAAGCGATCGACTTCTTGAGGTTGTCAAAAATAAGTCTGCCCTCCTCAACACCCGTGACAATGGAAGCAAAGTTGTCATCTAACAAGATCATATCAGCAGCCTGTTTGGACACGTCCGATCCAGCAATACCCATAGCAACGCCTGAGTGAAGCAAATGTTAATGTTAGCAGAACTTTTACTCTTCTATGATAATGCAACGTTGGAAAACCAGACATGATCTTCACATATATATTGCAGACATGCCATAACATACAAGTTTTATGAATATATATAACTTACTTGCAAGATGAGCGAAACAAAACTTACCAATGTCAGCCTTCTTGAGAGCAGGAGAGTCATTAACACCATCACCAGTCACGGCAACAATGGCTCCCATGCGCTGACAACCTTCAACAATCATCAGTTTTTGTTGAGGTGAAATACGGGCGAACACAATTTCAGTGAAGTGAATGAGAACATCATCTAACTGGTCACAGGACATATCTCGTAGTTCTGAGCCATGGACAACAGCGGCTTTAGCTTCACGGGGATTTACATCCTTAATAGGGATGTTCAGTCTCTGAGCAATATCCTCAACAGTTTCATTTCCTTCAGAAATGATGCCTACAGACTTCGCAATTGCCTTGGCAGTGATTGGGTGATCACCTGTAACCATGATAATCTTGATTCCAGCTGATCGGCACTTTGCTACAGCATCAGGTACAGCAGCTCGAGGAGGGTCTAGCATCGATATAATACCTACAAAACGAAGGCCACGTACAGGAAAGTTAACAGATTCCGAATCGAAGGGATATCCAAGAGGATACTTATCAGAAGGCAACATATAGTCACAGAAGCCAAGTACACGTTCCCCAAGACCTCCAATTTCTAAGTAGGCATTATTGAAGGATTCCCTCAATTCATCAGTCAATACCTTTTCTTCGCCATTAATGTAGATGGTCGAGCAGCGTTCCAGGATCCTCTCAGGGGCTCCCTTCATGATGAGGAGGTAGCGGGGGTCATTCCTATCCTCAGTTTCATGTAAAGATAAGTGATATTTATTTGTAGAATTGAATGGAACTTCGCATACCTTCTTGTTTCGGGCTCGCCAGCCCCTTATATCTCCAACAGCTAGTTCGACACATTTAAGCAAAGCAGCTTCTGAAGCATCGCCGTTTACTTCACGTTTCAAGACAGGGACAGCCTCTTGTCCAGGCTTGAACTCAGCGCGGTTGCAGAGTGCGGCAGCACGAGATAATGCCTTCCAGCCTGGAGATGTTTTGTCATATTGACAGCCAGATTGGTTTTCTGATGTATCGGCTTCAATAACGGTATTGTCAAACCACATGTGGGCTACTGTCATGCGGTTCTGAGTCAGGGTACCTGTCTTATCCGAGCAGATGGTGGAGGCGGATCCTAGAGTTTCAACAGCTTCCAAGTTGTTGAAAAGGCAATTCTTGGCCGCCATTCTCTTGGCCGTGAGAGTGAGACATACAGTGACAGTGGCAAGCAGACCTTCAGGAACATTGGCTACGATGATACCAATGAGGAACACTATAGCGTCTAACCAGTGGTAGCCTGAAAAATACAGACATTTAAGTTGCAGTTGCAGAAAGAAATCTCACTACCATGATATATATAAATGAGAAAATCAATTGGAGCAATGAGGTGACTCGAACCAACGATCAAGGAACTCCCGCCTACACCAGAGTGCATGGGGATTATATGTAAAACTTAGACTGGTTTCAGTAGAATGCTCCGGATTTCCTGTGGATTCAGTGGAATCCCAGGCAACCAGTGGAATAAAGAGGTACCAAACTGATATGATATAATCAATTCATTTATCTGATTCAATAACATAAATCTCTTAAATAAGCAAATTATGTTTGCTGCTATTCTTAGCAGAAACAAAACTAAATATACTATTGTAACAATTCACATTAATTAAAAACCATTTATTATTAAATATATAAAATCTAAAGTAACGTAGTCTGCATGGCAGGACGTGATGTTGATTCCATCGGACAGCTCAAAATATTTGTTCATACTTATATTGTTGTGATTTAATTGTGCAGAGCCTGCATGCCTTGACATTAAATATCAACTTAAAAATTTTTTTATTTAAAATTAAGATAAATTACATCTTTTAATATTATTTCGCTCAAATGTATAAAACCGACAACAAAAAATTATCGCATGATTTGCCCGAAACACTGATTAGTGACTTTAAAAAATATATAAATTCATATAATACAATATATACTGTAAACAAAATCTCATATTTTATAATTATTATTATATTATTATTAAAACAGTATGCAAAGGATCATGGTGAACAGAAGAACTGTTATAAAAAATGGATCTGAATTGGTAAAGGTACGTTTGATGTCAAGTAACCTACAAAAGACCAGACAAATTATGCCACTATTTTAATACCTTACCCATCATGAAGGCAATCATGCAGAAGGTAATACCCAGAAACATTGCTACACTAGTGATGATGTGGATGAAATGATTGATCTCTTTGGCAATTGGTGTGTCAACAGTTTCCAGGCCAGAAACCAGTCCAGCAATGCGACCTATAACTGTGTTGTCCCCGATGTTGATCACAATTCCTTTGGCAGTACCTATAAAAAAAGCATTTTCAATACAATAGCTTCTTATCATACTTATACTTGCAAATAAAAACAGGTATATTCAAAGTAAAATAAGGGCTCAAGTCTCACCCTCCATGGCATTAGTGGAGAAGAAAGCAAGGTTTTTGGTCTCTAGGGGATTGTCTGATGTAAATTCAGGTGAGCGACTTTGGGGCTCAGATTCTCCAGTTAGTGAAGAGTTGTCCACCTGTATGAAAAACATTATTGTACATTAGCAAACTCCCAGTTACTGATCTTCCGCTTAACCATGTAGGTGAAATATTCGCTAGTCGAACTATTGATTTATATTTGATTTATATATAAGTTTTTAATGCATTTCTGTCACGTGTATAAGTAATTATCGAAAGAAGGCACCTAGCCGGGAAGGCTATGTAGCACCATTAAATGTGCGGGGTATTCATAGGGCGCTAAATATCACTAAGGATGCCAAATACGAAAACAAAAGTGCATAAGGTGAACGATATCAAAGGTATCCGATTCACCAAGAATTATATTGAGGGACATGTGACCTCGAGGGACAGACGGGAAGCAAGACACACGGTCGTCCTGAAAGTTCGGATATTCAACAAGGATATGCACGATCTTAAGAGGGACAATGCAGTTTGAACAATAAGGAGCAGGGCGGCGCTCCATTAAGTGCCCGTGAGTTAAACATGTATGGCCAATACGTAACCTCACCAGAGCCGTTCCCTCTGCCGGTTACGGCGGTAGGTGAAAGGCCATGGGGACACACTACTCTTAAGAGCATGCAGGTTGTTACCAGTAACAGAAAACCAACGACCCTACCAACGAGCAAGGATTGAGGAATGAATAACTGGGTAGAAGTTGGAATAAGGAACACCTTTACGGGAGATGGGACGAGTGTGGATAGCCTCCTTAGCAGCAGCATCCACATGCTCATTTAAGGACACACCAATATGGCTGGGAACCCAGCAAAACTCTCTATCTTAAATCTGCTGGAGATAAGAAACAGCCAATGTTGAATTTCGACTACCACGGGATGGACTGGATTAAAGGACTCAAGAGCTATGAGAACACTGCGAGAGTCAACTACAACAACAAAGGAGGATTGACAGCCAGAAAGCAGTTGACAAAGACCATACAAAATAGCATAACGTTCTGTCGTGAAGATGCTAGTCTCTGGAGGCAGGCGACACATATAAGTGTGGTCAGGAAAAACAACAGAGTAGCCTATTCTGTCTGCAGACTTAGACCCATCGGTGAAGACGGAAATGGAGCGGGAGTGTGAAGAAAAGTGTTCAAGGAAAAGTCGTTTCAGAACTGTAGGAGGGGTAAAAGCTTTATTATTGTGGGGCAAAATTTTACAAAACTTAGGAAGGGGAACCCTCCACGGGGGCAAGGACGTAACGACATGAGGAGAAATATTGGTAACACAAACCGAAAGAGAATCTTGTAACCGAGACAACCGTTAAGAAAGAGGTAGGTGGTGAAGGGGTACAGGGACCACAGGAGGGGATAAAGGTCAAAGTACGATATAAACGAGAGCGAGGGTGTTGTAGGGATCGTGCAAGGTAGCGAAAACAGTAGCGAACACGGCAATCCTGTAGAGACAGGACGCCAGTTTCAACATACTGGCTGAGGGTAGTAGTCTAACGAAAGGCACATGAGCTATCAACTCAAAGATTGCTGGGAGGAGGATGGACAACAGCCTGGACAGATAGACGGTGAGGAGGGCTGAGAAGAAGGATTGGGGGGGAGAATAGAAAGAGGGCACAGGAGACAGGGAAGACTGGGAAAGAAGGCAGGAAAACTACAAAGATGGGAGGGGAGCAGAGAGGGGTAGTTGGGAGGGTCAAACAAGCAGCTTGGTCTAGGTTTAATGCAGCAGGAGCTATTGAGCCCGCGACCTCGATCACGGTCCGACTCGGGGGGCCAGGTCGCCCACCCCACGATCCTGTGAAGTTAAAAAGAGGGTCAATCATTGGCATATAAACGAACAGGTAATAATTTAATCCACGAATACGCCCCCATACCCACCATGGAGCCACAATTAGAGGATAGATGGGGCCCCCAGTGATGCATCATGGGTATACGCCCTGCAATCGCCACCTTAAGAACCGTCAGTCCGTCGAGATCGGTTCAACAACGAAGGTAAAGATTAACAATAAAAGCGTCCCTTTGCTCGAAACGTCAGGTACTACAGTTTTACGGGTGAGTGTTGCTCCCCAAACACCCGGCGTCAAAACAGAAGATGTCTGAAAGAATAATCGAGAATGGCAAAAAGTCGGCGGGAAACGACAATCAGAAAGGGGAAGAGGAGGGAGGAAAAATTAAACATCAGGAAGAGAAAAAGGCATCCAGCACAATTAGTGAAGACAGCAGCAGGACCATAAGGCTGCAAAAGGACAGAGGACTGACCCATGGAGCATCACACCCCGGCAGCTGCCCACCAAGCCCCCCTCACGAAGACAACGGGCTGGAAAGGAAGGCGGTGTCAAGTGAATAAACCAAACTAACCTTGAAACCCTTTGCTGAAATGATGCGGACATCAGCGGGGACGCGGTCACCACACGTCACCTCAATAATGTCTCCTATGCAGATTTCTTCAGCCTGCACATGCTTCCTTTCTCCTTCACGAATCACAGTAGCATACTAATAAGAGGAAAAATATAGTTTCTATTGCATTTGAACAGTTTGTTTACTGTAATAATTTGTATTGTATATATAGTACTGTATTTAGAAACTAATATTTACTGAAGTATACTAATTTATATCAGAGTTCCCTACATACAATAAAGTCTAAAATAATTTATAGTGAATATATTTTTAAATTATATTACTGTAAGTTGATGTCATCACATAACAACATGTACCAAAGTCAAGGCGAAGCAAAGGACTTAATACTTACCACTGCCTCCTGCCGAGTAACGACCAGACTCTCGGTTAAAAACTTGAGTTTTATCTGAAACTTACCTTTGATATTTGCCAGTTAAGATTTACTGTACTCGAACGGACTAATTAGCACCGGCGCCATAAAGTTCTATCACACTTTCCGTTCCTTATTGTGTCGAGTCGAATAGGCTACTTTTTTTTCTTACCGAAACGATATAACATTAATATTTTAAAACACAATATCAAAACCATGTTGTAATGTAACTGTGGAATCCGAAAAGCATAACAGAACTGTATAATGAAAAAATATGTTTTCTTTGTGACCCTCGACTGAGCATAAACATATACATTCTTTGTATTTTGTATTAGAAATAGTGTAGGTACAAATGTCATTGCCCTAAACCAGGCTGGTTGTATTAAGGCTACTCAAATTCCATCGCCAATTTCCTCTTTCCTTTAATAATTTAGCTTTGGTATTATTCTTACCTACTGGAACCTAAATAGTGATGTTGCTAGACATCGTTCCTGCTCAGTAATAGTGCAATTAAATACAAAAATGTCAGAAATCCTTTGGAATTCACAGGATGTCATAACACTAACACACAATGCAGACATCATGGCAACTGTGGAGGTGAAGCATAAACCACCCGTCCTCCTGTTTAGATAGTACTTTTTGTAACTATATGCACCATAGTACAAACAGTTAGATAGTATAATTTTGTACTATTCAATTTATTGAGTCCGAACAAATTAAGCTAAAAACAACCTTAATATTCCTAGACCCAGTATGGCACAAATATGTACTATATTAGGCCTCAGATAGCGTGTATTAGGCCTAGGAAGGTTAGGTTAGGTTAGGTTAGTTTGTCTTTGCAACTTAAGTAGAAAATCGTTTTCCAGTTTTCCAAATTCAGTATTACTGATTTTTACTTTCTAACTACGTTGTACGTCGGTATATGTACAATGGTCTTAATCTTCCCTATAAGTACTATTAAAACAGGAGGATGGGCTGGCATAAACAGTACAGAGATTTGTACCAACAATGCTGTACTGGTATTGGTACAAACAATATTACAGTGTAAGTCGAGGCACAAACGTTACTAAAGTACAAGTTTTGGTGCAACCAATATTACAGTACAGGTCTTGGTACAAACAATACTGAAGTATAGGTCTTGGTACAAACAACAATCATTTAAGGTCTTAGTACAAACAACGTTGAATTATAGACCTTAGTACAAACAATCCCGAAGTACAGATTTTTTAACAAGCAATACTGAAGTACAAGTCTTAGTATAAAAGTACTACAGTACAGATTTCGTAAAATCATAGCGAAGTACAGGTCTTAATCCATACAATACTAAAGTACAGGCTTTAATACTAAAGTGCAGGTTTCAGTACAATACTAGAGTGCAAAATTGAATACAGTATTAAAGTACAAGTCAAAGTATTAAAGTATTAATGTATTAAAGTATTAATTAAAGTATTAAGTATTAAAGTATTAAAGCATACAGTACTAAAATACAGGTCTTAATACATACAGTACTAAAGTACAGGTCTTAATACATACAGTACTAAAATACAGGTCTTAATACATACAATACTAAAGTACAGGTCTTAATATATTCAGTACTAAAGAACAGGTCTTAATACATACAATACTAAAGGACAGGTCTTAATACATATAATACTAAAGGACAGGTCTTAATATATTCAATACTAAAGGACAGGTGTTAATACATACAATACTAAAGTACTGGTCTTAATACATACAGTACTAAAGTACAGGTCTTAATACATACAATACTAAAGTACGGGCCTTGGTACAGTATTACTATACTGCATTGGTACAAACAATATTGTGCAAGTCTTTCTACAAACAATTTACTGAAGTGCAGGGCTAATTACAAACAATACTACGATACAGCTCTCGGTACAAAGTACTACAGTACATTTAATGGTGCAAACTATATTACAACACAGGCCCTGGTACAAACTGTACAACACAGGCCCTGGTACAAACCATACTACAACACAGGCTCTGGTACAAACAATACAACAGGTCCTGGTAGAAATACTACAAAATAGGTCCTGATACAAATCAATACAATACAGGTCTAGCTACAAACAATACAAAACAGGTCCTAGTACTGATAATACAAGTCTTGGTACAAATAATATAGATCCTGGTACACACATTTTAGATCCTGGTAAAAAACAATGCAGATCCTGGTACAAACAATACTATAATACATTTCTTGGTACATACAATACAACACAGGTCTTGGTACACACAATGCAGCATAGGTCTTGGAACATACAATACTATACAGGTCTCGGTACACACAATACAACACAGGTCTTGGAACAAACATTGCTACAATACAAGTATTGGTTGGTAATCTTTAGAGCAAGATTACCAGTCCCTCTTTGTTAACCATAATCTCTTGTATAAGCACTAGTCTCTCTCTTATATGCCCACTAGATTGGTTACCTATATATACCCGGGGCTCTCCCCCCCTCCTCTCTTCTAGTCACCCCCTTTCTCATATCTCTTTCCCTATGTCCCCTCTCTACCTTTCTCCCACAACAGCTCTCTTTTCCTCTCCTTTCCGCCTAATATCTCATGTTTCTCTCCTCCCCTTTCTTCAAACATCACCCCCCTCTCTTCAAACGTCTCCCCCTTCTCATTCCTTCTTTTCAAACCTCATCTCTCTCAACCCCTCTCCTTCCCATCAAGGCTTTCAACCTGTCCTCTTAAAAATAACGTCGCCTTTGGCCGTTTGCGCGTATGTCCGAAAGTGGACGTAATTTGAAAAAAAATGAAAATAAATTTTGATTTTTTTTTCAGCAACAGTAAGTTAAGGGTCCTCTGGTAGGTTAGGTGGGCATGAAATTTTCATAAAGTTTCAAATTTTTATGAAAAATGTTAATTGAAAGTTTCCTCTCCTAACCTTTCTGAGTAAGCCGGACGACTCAAGCAGAAAACGGGACAGTACGTCACTTTTGTGAGTCGATTTAATTTCAAATTACGTCCACTTTTGGCTATAGCGCGTATACGAGCGAAAAGTGACGTTATTTTTAAGAGGACGGGTTGGTGATTTATGCGTCAGGCTGCGGGCAGCCGCGTCCAACAGCCTGGTTGACCTGCATTTCAGACTTCATAAAAAGTGCACCGCGAGGGTAAGGGGGGGGGGGGGGTTAAATGCCGATATTTCTTATAATGTGGCACTGGAGCCGACCCAGACTGGCTTATGACGCTCCCATACCCCACATGCTTCATATGTGAAAGTTCACCGAGGCTAGTCCCAAACATCTGGCCTCCAACCTTGGACAGACAAACAAACGTTCTGTCATATATGATATCTTTAACTATAAATTAGAATGTTTGTTCGAGGCTGGAGGCCAGATACTGGAGGCTAGCCTCACCTAATTTTAACAGAAATTGCTGTTGGGTACATGCCCAAGATTTTTTTTTTAACATGGGTGCATTGGGGTTGGCATAAATTAAACGAGTGTCACTTGACATGGTATTAATGCTTGCCTGTATTAGGTGTTCATGACGTCATTCACACCAGATCTACTATCACCACATTCCCTAGCCCTAGATATCCACCCTCCCGAGTTTGATTTAGATTGCTACACAACTTTGTCCAGCCAGGATTGTAATTATTGTACACGTTGTTACGAATAATGCTTCTGAGTCTGATAATGACACGTTCTACGTGCTATGGGTAACGTTGAACAAAATGTCATAAAAAAAAGAAGGGAGAGGGGGAGAGGCAGCTCAGAAAGGCAGAAAAGATCAACGTGGAGCGTGAAAAGATTACAATTCGTTTTATCAAACCAGCACCGAGGGGAGGAGACCCTAGCTGACTGGAACTCTTGTTCTCTTCATATTAAGAGAGATCCTCTGATTAATTATCACGACAGTAGGCAGTACAATATTCATGAGCAACCTAGAATAAACATGTGATAATTACTATTCCCTTTTATATACTCTACTCCGATCTTCTTACCTTACGCAACATGTATAATCTTTAAACACGCCACAATCGTTGAATTAAAATTATATTACTTTAGGTTTTGTCGAGTTTTTCTGTCTTGGGCAAATTAGAAGTCAAGAAAGTAATAATAAAAAATTATACTTACGTATTATACTTACTTTTCTTTCTCAAATGACAGCAGACGTTAAAAAAACAAAAAAGCATCAATCGCAAATATAGATACTGTACCTTATAAGCCTTTTAGTGCATTTTTCTATCCTAAACAAGATAAATATAAGTCATGCTCTTCCAAGCAATTTGGAAACTACCAAGTTCCAGCACTTGAAATTTTGGCTTAACTCCAGTTGAAATGGATTTCAGAAATTCTCATTTGGTGTTAGTTCTTGAAGTCGCGGTGATATAGTTTGATAAACTATGAAGTTGATGTTGACTTATTTATGTTAAATTACGTAACTAGCTCATCGGTGTTGTAACTTGATTTACTAAACAAATTTTGGGGTTTAGTTCTTGAGCCCATTATGTAACATGATTTGTAATGAGTGCATAATAAATGAACTAAAAGACCAGATCTTTGTGATCTCTCAGTAGCTTACGAAGATTAGGCACGAAGTCCACAGTCTCTCCCAAATATACATAACCTTAAAACTTACAAGCATGCTAGTTAGGTAGCTGGCAGTTCAGTGGGATGCCATCTGGTGGAGGTTGAGATGGGGCGAGGGTTGTTTAACCGTTGTTAATTATCTCGTTTGCCTTCCTAGTTTCCTTTCCTAGTTCCTTGCCATTTCCTAGTTTGACTTTATCGATAAGAGTAGTACTGTTTTGTTTCATCTATGACCTTCTGTGATGTTACCTAGATTATGAGTTGCTCTCTGATCCCTCATGTTTCCTTTATTAAGTGAACCAGATTCTGCTTCTCTCTCTCTCTCGCTCTCTCTCTCTCTCTCTGGGGCCTGGTACATTTGGGATGTTCTGTGGTACTAAGCGTGCAAGGTCCGTGGAGCCACTGAGAGGGCCACCACAAAAAAGGGACCAATCAGTTTTCATTGTTAAAATATTATACAAACATTTTGATGAGTATTGTATTCCTTATTCCACACATGCAATTCAATTAAGAAGATGGGCTTGTTAATGTATATGAAAGTGGTTTCCTCGCCTAAAAATAATGCAGTGCATCTGGCAGAAAATGCAACTTACAGTAATTATCTAGTTGGTTGTGGTAAGGATTCCTTCCAATCTCCCTGGTACCAGGAAGCCCATTCTTTACGAATACAAATATTTACCTGTGGGACCATTTTCTTAAATGACTCCATGATAGCCGAAGACTTTGCCTCCTGGTAGTAGGAGAAGATGCCAGTAATAATGACTACGCCCAACAGCGCTACTCCTAGGTATAACTGCAAAATAATACTCAAGCAATGTCAAATAATAATACATGCATAACACTAATATTTTAAAGTTTACTTAGTTTTAAAGCTCTTTGTTTCAGAGTAAGGCATTGAACACTATCATATACACACAAAAGATGCAATATTAAAATTATAAATCCCCTATGTAGGATAGTTACAGGCATCACTTAATTTGTCTAATTGAATACTTTTGTAAATTTAATATTAATACTTAAAAATTGAAATTGAAATTGGTTTTCAATTTAACAAAAGTTGTGTACATTTGAAGGCCCAAAACAATTGGCCAGTTTGTGCCATCTTTGTGTATGCAAGAAGTTGAACCAAATAACAGGCCAGTTAACATGAAAATCTTCTTTGCAATTTTAGGAGCTTCAATTGCTGTGGTTATTGGCACCACTATCAACATAATTTTTTTATGTATTTTAAAAATACTAAACTACTTTTTCCACCGGAGTTATCAGCATTTTTACAACATAAGTATATGTTACTAATCAAAACTACATGAAATCCAAATTTCATGTAGAAACTCAAACTAAACGTCAGTATTGATTTAGAATAATTCCAAAATAGTCTTTGGCTTGTAAAAAAATTGCAAAACTCCATAACTGATAGTGAAATTCTCTTGGCACATTCATGCAAACACTTTGACAAGTTAAGTAAACGGAAGAACACTTAAACATATTTAATACTATTGACTTTTAGAATTCGAATAAAATTTCAATGATCTTTATATTTATATTCTTTAGTATATTATATAAACAGATATATGTTTTTGACACCATTGGGTGCATAAAATCCTAAATATTTAAACGCATTCTTATTTCCAGCACACGCATCACGCATCAAAAGTCCTAAACTTTTATTTTATGCCGACCAAAATTACCAAAATAAGGAAATTTTTTCAACACTTGAGACTCTCATAATTGAAATATCTATGAAGATTTTGCACATGGTCCCCACCATCGAGGATGGAGAGGCTTCATAGGCTGCAAAATATTAAAGATAAATACAACCATTAATATTATCAGGTGAGGTGGACATTGCTGCTCCTGCTTTCATCCTCAAGGACCCTCTTAAGAGAAATCATTACAAATAAAATTATCAAGAAACATCAAACTAGTATGCAAGTATTACAGGAATTATTATACTAACTACTTTTTACAATTATAATTATCATTTAGAATTGGAAGTCAAAATGCCTTGGCTATCAAATAAAAGCAGCAGCCTCTTTGATAAACATTGAGAGTGAATCCCACGAACAACTGGTGGGACAAAATACAACAGTAATAAGGAGGAAGTTTGATGTTCTTAAAACATAATAATCTGAAAAGCAGCCAATCTATAATATAAAGAAAACTAGTAATAAATTATGTTTCCTAACTTATTACAATCAAACAAGCAAAGATTATTTAGAAAAAATTAACTATCGTATTTATTGAGAAAACATGCACGCATATAATTTGAAATTGGCTGTTAAAAGTTTACTAGAGCTTACATAATCATTATTGGGGTCTTCCTCTGAAGCAGCCTCAATTGAGAATGCAATAAAGCAAAGGACAGCACCAATCCACAAGAGAAGTGCGAAACCACCAAAGAGGTTCTTGCAAAATTTTACCCACTCAGGAGTATGCTTGGGTGGGGTCAGGGTATTTCGGCCGTCTCGTTCAATGCGTCGAAGAGCTTCGTCCTGTGTTAAACCCTGGAAAAGTAATTATAACTTTAAAATGTCAAGCATTAAATGTATTGCAATGAAATGCCCCTTTCTGCATGGCCCTCAGTAGCTCTCGAGTATTGAAAGCTGTGATACAATAGAATTATACAATCACTCTTTAAGCCTGGACTTGCGTAGGCCTACTAGAAACCCAGATCAAAATTTGATTCAGTTACTGGGGCGAGAGGAATTGTGTGAAAACCCAATTGGGCTTCGGGAGCCTAGTCAGGGCAGTAGCACTTCAGGTTGCAATGCATTTAACCATGTCGTGGCACAGTTGACTAAGGCGCAGCTGGGAACATTCCGTGCGTAGGTTTGAACCCTCATCACGGCCCTTGTGGATTTGATTATTTGAAATATCACGCTATTGTGATTTCTACATGTTTACTGCTGACTCCTCAGTTGGTGCGCAGGCTGAGGTGGTGGTGATTGCATTTTCCGCCTTTGTGCTTATCTGGGAATGTGTTGAGTGATGTGTTCCGTCCGTTTTTAATATATATGTTGTTAAGTCAGGGCTTGTGTCAGGCCTTTCATTTGACCCGTGTTCCCTTATATTGCACTGTTTGGTTGTGGATGAACGTATATTTGGGGTTGAAGGCTTCCCCTTACTTGCCTTCTTGTACTTGCTCTAGCTCTCTTCCTTTTGGTGGGTGGTAACGGCCTTCGTTTGTTGGGGTCCTTTATATGTGTTCCTGAATCTTATGTATTTCTGTTCTGTGCTGCTGGCGCTCTGTACTGGCGGTACCTTATCGGTGTTCCACTTGTGTGAATTGGTGTACATATGGTGCGAATCTCTATGCTGTGCCCTGGGTACGAATATTATCGTCTAGCTATATTGTATTTTCGTTTGTTTATTATGTGTTTCTTTGTTATGTTCCCTTTATGCGTGCATGGAGTTGTACCTGGTGCGTGTCCGTACACTGGTGTTTGTATATTTTTGTATTGCTGTTTGTATATTTATGTATTGTTTATTATTTGCATGCTGATTTGTTGTTGGTGATGTATCCTGTGGTGTTTGACTCTGTTCTGGTGCTTCGGTACCTTGCTTTTTACTTGTATTTAGTTCTTGTTTTACAAAAAAGAAAAACAAAAGTCACAATAGGTGACTAACTTCCACGGTACCTATTTACTTCTAGGTGAACCGATGCATCAGATGAAAGAAATATGCCCAAATGTATCCGTCCTGCACGGAAATCGAACCTAGAATATTTAATTTAGGAACCGATTACACTGACCACTGCACTACAGGACCCTGTTAAACTTTCTGTAGATGGGTGATTGTTGAAGCTATACTTAATATGCCTCAAGATATTATTACCCAATGTATTCAAGTAGTTATTGAAAGGAAATAGCTAATAACAGAAAGTAAAAAAAATAATGAGAACAAGAAATAGAAGCAAGGTAAACACTGGGTGTGTCTACTTTTTTCTTAACTTACGCTATTCCTCCGTGGAAAACAATAATTCACAGTTGAACGAAAACTGCAAACAGTATAAGGAGTTTATTGTCTAGCCAGGACCATGCTGTGGTTTTGTATCAATGACCCTAATTCAACTCTTTTTAAAGATATATTAACACTTTAGAAACTTTATAGGTTTACCCAGAATTGACAACTGGTGTGTGTAACTGAGGTGATACAGTCGTATAATGCAGTACAGTATTGTAATATATATATATATATATATATATATATATATATATATATATATATATATATATATATATATATATATATATATATATATATATATGATCTTCAGTATTGTCTTGTAGTTGAGTTTGATCTAACATCTGTACTGTGTATCATGTACTGTAGGCCTGCATGTCATTTTAAAACATAATAATTGCTGAAAGCTAAGGATTAAAACAGTAAATTTATATAATTTATAAAAATATTTTAAATTTTGTACAATATAACAAAATCCTTTGGCACATCATAATATTCAAAGGATACTACAGAAACTACGCCGATTAGCAGGAAGAGGGAAACTACAGGGAAATAAGTGCACTCATGCAGATGAAAGTGGCATATTATGGGAGATGTACGGAGGCCCAAGTTGCACTGATGGCTACCAGGGAAGCGTATTGCTTACCGTTTCAGGGTTCACACAAAGTCGCTGATAGAGTTCATTAAGGGAGATCTTGTGCTCATCAAGTTCCAACTCCTGCTTCAGATCCTCCATGTCCTTCTCCCCTCTCTTTGTCCTTCGCTTAGACATTTTCTTTTTAGACTGTAAAATATAGTGATCAGTTATTGCGAGAAAAGCCACAGCTTGTACCTGTCACATCACATTGTCATAGTATTAATGAAATAATATCTCGCACTACTTCTTAAACTGTATTTCATATCGATTAATTATTTGTAAGTACACATTGAAATTAAAACTTAATTTAATTATATATTTATTTATATATATACAAGAAGGTACATTGGGTTCATGAGAGTACATAGCATCGGTGTTTTTACATTCGTGTAAAACAACTAACGCGCATAGCGTTTCGAGCAACATTAATATTTAGATTGGGAGATCCTGTTGATAATTAGGGTCACAGTAGAACAAGATTGAGAACCTCAACCCGTAAGCTGGTATGTTAGAAGCATTTACACCCTTAACAATACCTTAATGCACTTTGGTGTTTCTTATCATGGATATTTAAAATATTCTAAAATCTGGCCTAAGGTGCTTGACGTATGGCATGCAGTATTTATAACATGTAAAATTATTTAATAATGTAAACTGGATTTGTTAAAGAATGAGACCAATCCTCGAGTTATCAAGGCATTCCAATATTAATAATTAAATGAAATAATGTTAAAATGTTGCTTACTGGTGAGACGTATACAAATAAATTATATATAATGTAATAAATAACTTTTGATGGAGCAGTTTCATCAACACTGAGAACAAAACCCTGAGAAGCCTTTGAGACTGCTCTCGAGTTCACTGATTTTCACTTTATTTTAATGTATGCGCAGGTTACCAAATATAATGTTGAGATACGGTTCCAACCCTCACAAGTTGTTTTGAGAATGTGACAAACTTTCAGTCCTATATATATATATATATATCATATTTTTTTCTTATGATCATTAATTATGATAAGCATTATGCATTTTAAAATAGAAACTTTATGAACCTAAATAGGAAGAATTCTCATGTATATTGACTCATGTATAATCTTAAGTAGCTACACATTTAATTTTCCATTGCAGTTTTAAGCAAGAGATATACATATAAGTGACAAAATTTTCATGCATATCTATTTGTAACGTGCAACAGAAACAAGGAGGAGCTATTTAGCAGTGTATTAACAGGTAACATATTGACAAAAAACAATTAAAGAGTGACAGAAGGATATCGCTTGATATCTTAGGCCTTTCTCAAGAAATGGTACCTTGGACTTCCCTTTAACGGCATTGTTTTCTTCATGGGGAGCTCGAGCGTTGTTATGCTGGTGCGAATTACTTGTGCTTGTCTGAAAGAAAAACAAATAATCAAACAAATTAGAATGTATACACTAACCCTGTGCATCATTTTTTATTTGACAGAAGCCTTTCGGGTAAAACATCTACAGATTAGTCTTCTATTTTGTTATTTATTTTCATAAAAATATTTTTATTCTTAGATGTCTGCTTACATTATATATTTTGATTCACCCAGGGTGACTCCTGATTATGTTACATGAGGTTTTTCACAATAAAAATCAAGTAAATTATTTTGATTATAAATCCTCATAATAACCAAGATTTGACATCTCTCTGGCTAAATGATAAATTTTATTATACATAAGAAACATTAATTAAAATAATTTTGAGGCATGTGGCACCGCCGCACCCAAGAAAATTGTAATCAAAATATTATGTTTGAAAGTACATGTTTTCTCTGACTCCTACAAAAAAATTATATTAAGGTGTAACTATATAAATTAAAAAAAAACTCATATCAACAGCAGAATTTAATTAAGTTGAATTTCCGTATTCTGTATAACTTCATGTTCAAATAAAAAACTAATTAACAAATGTCTAGTCTCCCAGAAGTCTTGCGAATTCACGGGAAATCGTGAGGGAATCTTTGAGGCTTTTCAACATGTGACAAGCTATTGCAAATATTAAGATTCTGAACAATTACGTATGTAAAATTGTGGCAATCTTAGTAATAATTGTTCAACCTTCAATTTCAATAATGATTTGCAGTATATGGTTCTTCAACCCCCCTTCCCCTAATACTGAGTCCAGCCATGTACACACTTGCACAAACTACGTTGCTTACCTCTTTATTACCTCCTGTCCTGGTTAGACTAGGCTACCGTTCTCCATCCTCACATTGTTTCCACCCATTGATTTTCCTTATAATACCCTGCCCCACACAAGTCTCGGGATATCTGCAAACACAACTCTCACCCATCCATTTACTATCCATAAGGTTGCACTTAACCTCACTAGTCTTGTTTTCTAGAAGTATACCCGTGCGCTTACCGGTTAGTTTAATCTGTCTCATATGTCTCCACGGTTACTGTTGACACTCCTCTCATTCGTGTTTGGAAGAAAATCCGCAGAATTGCTGGTAAATTTGTTCCTGGCGTAACACCTGTCCTTCATTTCCGTGATCGTATTGGGGTGGATCCGGTGTTAGTCGCAAATGAACTAGGTTCACACTTTGGTGCCATTAGCTCTGGTACTCATCTTCCTACTACTTCCCTTATTCTTACACCTCTTATCGAATTTAACCCTTGTGTGTGAAATATTTCCCTACATATAAGCATAAATAAATATTAATTATATTTAAGATTAAACTATGAGAATTTGTCCTTTGTTCAGAAATAATAACTTCAATCGAAATACATAGCTATGTGTGATGCAATAATTCCAGCCAGATTCTTCTTAATTTGGTATGTGACGATTGAGCTGTTAAATTTTTCTTGTTAGTTCTCATTATTAATTCAAATTAGAGGAATTTGGAGTTAATACTTGGAAAGTTTATCAAATCATTAATAGAAAGTTGACGTTATGATCAGTAATAATTTATTGATCCCTCCCAATTTAATAACAGTCTCTACATTGATCCACGAATGGTGGCGAGGGGGAGGGAGGGTCCGCCATTTTTCACCAACAACTCACAACACATGAGAGACGCGGCGCACGCTGGTCTCTCTTCCTAAAATAATTGTGTTACTTTTACCTCGCACGTTCGGCAGTTAGTAGTCCATATCAACCATCCTTGTTCCAACCAATGCTAAGTATCTTTATTTCCCAAAGTTGTTTGTATACAGGCCTTTATAAATAGTGGGAAGGAGGATATGTTGCTAGGCCGGTTATATAGGTATACAAACTACAAATTCCAAGTAAAAATCAGTTATTAATATTTCTTACTAATTCATTGATTAAAGTGAGTGTGTTTTACAGAATAATTGTATATTTCTAGAATTAATAACATTCGCCGGCAGGAGTCATTACGAAGACGTTCCCTGGTGGTCGCCATTACTCACGAGGAATTAGTTACTAATGCTAGCTAGGAATTAGCTAGGAATGAGCTCTTAGCTACGCACGGCCTGTATATAATTTCCTCGGGGATACTGATGACCATAAGAGTTGCCATGCTTTAAGAAGTCATCTTACCAGATAAGGATTCAAGTTTACTCACATAATTCATATCGCACAGCATATACATTTAAACCAGTTACTTTATTAATTATTGCCGAGTTTGTTCCTCTGGCAGTGGGGGTTGTGGTTGTATGTCTGTCCTTTCATGTTGTAAAGTGTAGTTATATGTTTGTCTACAGTCTATGAAGATTTAGGATTGAACTCGGAGCAGTAAGTTATATTAACATTTAATTCTACAATTTACCTTATAAATTAAAAGATAATTTCAATAACTAACATTGAACACTCCCTCCCCCCTCCCACGGTGTGGGAATGTGTACCAAAAAATACATTTTATACAGTCGGGAGTCTTTTATACAAGGGAGCCGGTCGGCCGAGCGGACAGCACGCTGGACTTGTGATCCTGTAGTCCCGGGTTCGATCCCAGGCGCCGGCGAGAAACAATGGGCAGAGTTTCTTTCACCCTATGCCCCTGTTACCTAGCAGTAAAATAGGTACCTGGGTGTTAGTCAGCTGTCACGGGCTGCTTCCTGGGGGTGGAGGCCTGGTCGAGGACCGGGCCGCGGGGACACTAAAGCCCCGAAATCATCTCAAGATAACCTCAAGAAGTCCGGTAAATCGAATAAATAATCATATCAACTACATTCTCCCACACATTGAACGGACTGGCTCGCTGCAGTTTGTTTTCCCATTTGGAAAAGCCTAGCTGCGCGTGGTCTTCGCTGGGCGGGAATAGCTGCGCACGGCCTGGATTGGGTGGGGCTAGCGGTGCGTGGACTGGGCTGGGCTGAACTAGCTATGCTTGGCCTCCACTGGGCGGGGCTAGCTGTGCGTGACCTGGACTGGGCGGGGCTAGCTGTGGCTGGCCTCCAATGGGCGGGGCTAGCTGTGCTTGGCCTCCACTGGGCGGGGCTAGCTGTGCTTGGCCTCCACTGGGCGGGGCTAGCTGTGCTTGGCCTCCACTGGGCGGGGCTAGCTGGGCGTGGCCTCCACTGGGCGGGGCTAGCTGTGCTTGGCCTCCACTGGGCGGGGCTAGCTGTGCTTGGCCTCCACTGGGCGGGGCTAGCTGTGCGTGGCCTTCGCTGGGCGGGGCTAGCTGTGCGTGACCTGGACTGGGCGGGGCTAGCGGTGTGTGGATTGGGCTGGGCTAGTTGTACATGGCCTCCACTGGACGGGGCTAGTTGTGCGTGGCCAGGACTGGGTGGGGCTAGCTGTGCGTGACCTGGACTGGGCGGGGCTAGCTGTGGCTGGCCTCCACTGGGCAGAGCTAGTTGTGCGTGGATGGGGCTAGATTGTGCATTGTGCGTCGATGGGGCTAGTTGTGCATTGGATGGGGCTAGATGTATTTGGCCTGGACTGGGCGGGGCTAGCTGTGAGTGGCCTGCACTGGGCGGGGCTAGCAGTGCGTGGCCAGGACTGGGCTGGAGTAGCCGTGCGTGGCCTCCACTGGGCGGGGCTAGCTGGGCGTGGCCTCCACTGGGCGGGGCTAGCCGTGCATGGCCTGAACTGGGCGGGGCTAGCCGTGAGTGGCCTGCACTGGGCGGGGCTAGTTGTGCGTGGCCAGGACTGGGCGGGGCTAGTTGTGCGTGGCCAGGACTGGGTGGGGCTAGCAGTGCGTCTCCTGAACTGGGCGGGGCTAGCTGTGCGTGGCCCGGACTGGGCTGGAGTAGCCGTGCGTGGCCTCCACTGGGCGGGGCTAGCTGGGCGTGGCCTCCACTGGGCGGGGCTAGCTGGGCGTGGCCTCCACTGGGCGGGGCTAGCTGGGCGTGGCCTCCACTGGGCGGGGTTAGTTGTGCGTGGCCTCCACTGGGTGGGGCTAGCTGTGTTTGGCCTGCATTGGGAATAGTGGGTATACTGGGTGGAGCTAGTTGAGCCCCCACACTGGGTGGGGGCACAACTAGCATAGTGTATACACTTGGTGGGACTAGCTGTGTATAGTGGGTACACTGGGACGAACTGTATACTGGGCACACTGGGTGGGGCTAGCTGTGTATAGTGGGTACACTGTGTGGGACTAGCTGTGAATAGTGAGTACACTGTGGGACTGTATATAGTGGGTACACTGTGTGGGACTGTGTATAGTGGGTACACTGTGTGGGACTAGCAATGCATAGTGGGTACACTGGGTGGGACTATCTGTGCATAGTGGATACACTGTGTGAGGCTAGTTGTGTATAGTGGATACACTGTGGGACTAGCTGTGAATAGTGGGTACACTGTGTGGGACCAGCTGCGCATAGTGGATACACTGGGTGGGACTAGCGATGTAGGGTCCAGAGGGAGGCATGAAACTCACAGCTGGTGCAGGTTCCGGAGGGAAGTACCAACCACCCAGCTGGTGTAGGGTCCAGGAGGCGTCATCAACTATCCAGCTGGTGTAGGATGCAGAGGGAGGCATCAACCATTCAGCTGGTGTAAGACCCACAGGAAAGTACCAACTAAACTGGTGTAGGGTCCCCCAGGGACTAGCTGTGCGTAATGGGTACACTGTGTGGGCGTAAATTCGCAAACTACGCAAATGGTGTAGAATCGCAAGGGAGGGAGCCGGTCGGCCGAGGGGACAGCACGCTGGACTTGTGATCCTGTGGTCCCGGGTTCGATCCCGGGCGCCGGCAAGAAACAATGGGCAGAGTTTCTTTCACCCTATGCCCCTGTTACCTAGCAGTAAAATAGGTACCTGGGTGTTAGCTGTCACGGGCTTCCTGGGGGTGGAGGCCTGGTCGAGGACCGGGCCGCGGGGACACTAAAGCCCCGAAATCATTTCAAGATAACCAAGATAGGTACCAACCACTTTCCAGTAACTAACTACCGGCAAGACGGTAAGGTAAGTAATAATCAGAAGCGCTAAGCCATTATGATTATATAGCACTTGGAAGGGATGGGGATAAGGATTTTGGGATTAGACTGAGGACAGGAATGGTGCCCAACCACTTGAAAGGTCGAGGATTGAACGCCAACCTGCAAAAAGCGAGACCGTCGCTCTACCGGTGAGTCCAAGTGGTTGGGCAAGACGGAACGACGCAGCAGACTGCTGAGGGCTACTTACATCGGCCATGGCTGCTGGAGTGAGGGTGTGGGCGCTCAGCAGAAGGACGGCAGCAGAGGATACACAGTATCCACGAACAGTGTACGAGCTGGCTCTCCACCAGCACCAACAACCACTATGTACACACTTATGTACAAGCCACTAGGCTACCTTCACTTTGTACACTTTCCTCAATCTTGTGCCCTCTTGGACTTGTTAAGGGTTTCGCTACAAGTACATTCTTGGCCTAATTTGTTCTCAGACTAAATAAATCTATATTTATATTCTTATGGATGTAAGGATACAAATATTAATGCTATTTAGTAGCAATGAAAGCATTGGAAACGTTACATAATCTGTGTGAAGAAACACATCAAAGCAATGTAAGGTTTTGTAGTTCCGTACACATAATTTAAGGTAAAACCGTGCATATGGAATGTTTGTCACATCGTGAGTACGGGCTGCTTCACAGAGTGTGAAGAGTTCATTGGTCAACACTATATGGCGCAGCGGCACGTATGCCCTAGGCGAAGCGCGCCTCACAACTTCCACCGGCGGGAGACAAAATACTAGACGCAAGATAGTAAAGTTCCCCATCAGATGACCGGAAAATACGCACCCCCTCCCTCTTCTGAGAGAGATACCAGATACCACCACCACCATTATATCGCCATCTATTAACGGGTTTAAGTAAGCTGTTGGCGATAGCGGATTGGGGGGGGGGGCGAAGGGTTCCTATTGTTTCTCAATTTCCTAGATTATATTTTTCATTAGTCATTGTTTTATTTTTACCTTTCTTTCGAGCTGCAAGGTGCTAAGAAAGGCAACTTGTAGGATTTCGTCCTGAATTGCGAATTTATAAACTTAACACAAAATCTTTTCAGTACAAATGTGCATACAAAATTTGCATTGTATATCATATAACGTTAATTAATACATAATATATGTGTACACTCGAAAAGATATGCATCAAACATCACCAAATATATAATTTCTGAGTTAATGATATTGAAAAATGATTACATTGTTTGCGAAGCAGTTCCTGAACCCATTATGTGCCTCTGTAACCCTTTCCACCGCCGTCCACGGAATAGGTATGGGGTGCATAATAAAAAAAAGAAATTGAATTGAATTCGCAAGGCAAAGTTTCGAGTTTAGGAATTTTGTACACAGCTTTCGTTTATGAATGTTTTGTTCACTCGCACTTAAGACGCGTTTTAACTTTAGATTAATAATATAGATTATTAAATATAATCTCATTATGTCATGTAGGCTTATACTTTGAATTCAAATTTAGATAATTCAACCGGTAGTTATCTTTCTCTGCTAGGGAAATTCGGTGTTCCAGTCTTATACTGCCACCTCACCTCTTCTCATTACAAACTGCGCAGCTCATAGTAGAACACTGCAAATTTGTAAATAAATGCTTCCACAGGAATTGGTGGAGAATGCTATCTGTAGACAGGCATGGTGTACTCACCTAGTTGTGCTTGCGGGGGTTGAGCTCTGTCTTTTTGGTCCCGCCTCTCAACCGTCAATCAACAGGTGTACAGGTTCCTGAGACAGGTGTACAGGTTCCTGAGTGTGTTCTCTTCTGTGCTTGTGAATGTGGAGTCGACAGTTAGTGATAGCAATGTCAAATGGGGAATCCAGTGTTGCAAGATCTATCTCATGACACGGCCTCAATATTTTATCAACAAATGTTAACTTAGGCATTTATGTCTTTCTTCTAGACCAGTGGAGGGCAATCTACGTCCTTTTAGTCTATTGAATGCATCTAATGATGATACAACCCAGTCCCTGCTTAGTTGTCCACACATGATGATACAACCCAGTCCCTGCCTAGTTGTATTCGCACATTGTGCACCAACCCATCCTCTGCCTAGTTGTGTACATACATTGAGCAACAACCCAGCCCTTGCCTAGTTGTGTACACACGCTGTGCCTGTCCCTACCAGGCACAGCGTGTCTAACAACTCAGTCCCTGCCTAGTTGTGTACACACACTGCAACAACCCACTCCCTGCCTAGTTTTGTACACACGCTGTGCAACAACCCAGCCCCCTACCTAGAGTTGCTCCATTAGACTGATGTACTCTGGTCGCCCGTTTCGTTAGGTGTTCGTAGGCTACCTAGCAATAGGAATAGAATTTCAGTATATTTAAAACGACATACCTTTTTTTAATTTAATTCTAAAATAATAATCTTTTCCAACATGGAAGCTCTACTTAAAAAATGGGACACACTTAATCATGGACTCAAATGCAAACGTTTCGGTGTTCAGTGGGATGGAACACCTTTCTCTCAGACCCTTAGTTATCTGCCTCTTGTGTTTAGTCGCGATGAGTGGGGAGGAGAGGTCGGAGAGATTGGGTGGCGGTGTGAACATGAGTCCACATTACCATGGTAAAGACGTTCACCATCTGCTATTTGCGCAATCAATAAATATTGTGCCATCCAGCAGGCTCTTACCTAACTTGTCCGCTGCCGGCCGTTGGCTGGCCAACACCTTTGTCAACACTTCACCTTCGACAGTCATTTGACCACCATCAATTACATCATCACCTATTTAACTACTGGCCATTTCATCACCAGTTGTGTAGTCACTGGTCATTCATCGCCAGCCATTTGATAAAAAAGTGGATATTTGATCACTACCTAAACTAATTTAATACTAAATAACGTTCTGACCATTTTGCTTGATTTTGTGAACTTAACAATTATTGAAGGATGATGCGCCTGTGGTACTCTTGACAAACAACAAACTTATAACTCGCATGCACATCTCCTGTGCTAAGTAAGTACGACGCGCTCACCATAGCCGGTGCTTCATGGAACTTTTTGTTCCCAGTAGCGGAATCTAAAACAACAAACTTATAACTCACATCCACATCTCCTGTGCCAGATAAGTACGACGCGCTCGCCATAGCCCGTGCTGCTTGGAACTTTTTGTTCCCAGTAGCGGAATCTAAAACAACAAACTTATAACTCACATCCACATCTCCTGTGCCAGATAAGTACGACGCGCTCGCCATAGCCCGTGCTGCTTGGAACTTTTTGTTCCCAGTAGCTGAATCTAAAACAACAAACTTATAACTCACATGCACATCTCCTGTGCCAGGTAAGTACGACGCGCTCGCCATAGCCCGTGCTGCTTGGAACTTTTTGTTCCCAGTAGCTGAATCTAAAACAACAAACTTATAACTCGCATGCACATCTCCTGTGCCAGGTAAGTACGACGCGCTCACCATAGCCGGTGCTTCTTGGAACTTTTTGTCCCAGTAGCTGAATCTAAAACAACAAACTTATAACTCACATGCACATCTCCTGTGTCAGGTAAGTACGACGCGCTCACCATAGCCCGTGCTGCTTGGAAATTTTTGTTACCACTAGCTGAATCTAAAACAATAAACTTGTAACTTCATGATCAAAGATCACATTCATTCCAACAAATATACCACTTACATGCCCGTGCCACCTCTTGGGTGGCTGAACCTTCATTAGTCAATAAACTTCTGCCATTCGAGCTCTGTCTTTGGTAATGTTAACAAGGTTAACGAAACGCATCTCTTAGCGGCAGGCTATAAAAAAATTGTAAAATTAACTTTAGAGAATTAAATTTTCAACTTAGTTTTCAAGTTAAGAAAGAGTGGGAGAAACAAAAAGAGAGAGAAGCTAAGCAACAGATTGTCTTTTGTGATTTTTATCTTTATGGAGTAATGCATGAAGAAAATATTCATTCACCAGCAAGTACAACGGCAGCAAATCTTCATAGCACTAACCCAAAGAGAATTACAAACGCACCTTAGACATGACTCGAGGCATACAAGGTGTATTTACCAACTCCTGTCAGGAAGCGAGTCGTGTAACAGCAACCCGCAGTGAAGAAACATTGGCCAAGAAATAGGTCATAATATTCCTTGCATCGCCCGGCCTCGTAGTGCGAGGGAACACTCTGCTAGCTCTCCATATTAATTTTATATATGGTTTCACAATATTAGTGTGTGTGTGTGTGCGCTTTGTTTTAAATTACCTTGCACCACACACACTCACACAAGCTTTAGCGACACCAAGACACTTCAAGAGCAGGCTAGGATTTTCTCCGTCATGAGGTTACAATAAACAATAGATAATTTAATAATTCACACACATCTAACAAGAGTGTAGTTAATAGTTCTAATATAAAATGAGCGGCAGTGATATACGTTGTTAGCTCATACTCAATGGTCCCGGCTTCGGTTTTCGGAGGGAATGTGATAAGTACATAGAAGATTCTGTGAGGAATAAGCAAAATGGACAGAACCTATTTAAATTAAAAAATCAGGACAAATGGACATCAATGTAAGCTGACCACGCAATTAAGTAGAAGTGATTTAAGGATGCACACTACCGTGCAAATGTTTCTTTTCACGGTAGCGTGGTTGACAACTTATATGATGTGGGCCGGGGATCACTAATTCCTCTGTACTTAGTAGCAGCCAAGGAAAGTATAAAATTTCAGTTGGGCAGCAGTTAGTTGCCTCTGAAATCTTTCTTATTAAGGTTACCTCATAGCATGGTGGATAGAGCCTTGGCCTCACGCTCGTGGGATCGGCGGCTCTGGAGCCAGATTCACGAAGCACTTACACAAGTGAACAAATCCACAAGGGCCGTGACGAGGATTCGAACCTGCGTCCGGGAGCATCCCAGACACTGCCTTAATCGATTGAGCTACGACAGGGTTAAAAGAGTTGAAACCAAAGTTCTACTGAACTTACTGGATCCCGTAGCCTCTCCGAGGCACAAACCAGGATTTTACACAACTCCCCCCTGCACCAGAGCTATGTCAATAGGCCGTTCTCCCTCTTCGCCCTTAATCGACTGTCGTAACTCAGTCGATTAAGGCAGTGTCTGGGATGCTCCCGGACACAGGTTCGAATCCTCGTCACGGCCCATGTGGATTTGTTCATTTGATGCATCACGTTAGTGTGATCTCTGTGTGTAGTTACACAAGTACTTACGAACCTGTACATCTTTTCTCAATCTTTGGCGGCTTTGTTTACAATTATTAAACAGTTAATGAGCTCCGAAGCACCAGGAAGCTGTTAATAACAATAACAACAGTTGATTGGGAAGTTTTCATGCTTGTAAAATGTTTAATAAATGTAACTAAAGCCGTCAATGATTGAGAAAAGATGTACACGTTCGTAAGTACTTGCGTAACTGCTTCGTGAATCTGGCCCCTGGTCTCCTAGTGCCCAGGTGAATGAAATGTAAGGAATTTTTCGGTCAGTGTGCGGGTGGTCAGCAAGTGCAGTGCACTGAAAGAAGAGGTTGCTGAAGCCATTTCCATCCACTACGTTAAGAAAAAATATATGAAAATGTTGAGAGAGGTAATTAGCGTGCTGGGTCTCGCTCCGCGTAGTCACTGATAGGTAAGAACCGACAGTTAAGACTACTGATGACCTCAGTACTCAGACCATATCCACTCACACCAACTACTGATGATACTTCTGCTACTACTTGTACTAATACTCTACTTCTACTATTATTATTATATTGCTGCTGTTAATATTCTGCTACAAGTTCTAATG